AAAACAAAATGCCAAATATTTTCTCTAATATAAGGAGGCTGATTCATAATGGGGTTGGGAGGGGGAACATGGGATGATTAGACAAACTCTAGATAGGGTAAAGGGGAGGAAGAGAGACAGAGGGGGTAGGAGACACAGAGGGGGTATACATTACCTTAAGTACATGTATAAAGACATGAATGGTGTGAATATACTTTGTATACAACCAGAGATATGAAAAATTGTGCTCTATATGTATAATATGAATTGTAATTCATTATGCTGTCATATATAACAAATTAGAATAAAAAATTTTAAAAATATAAATGCTGGAGTCATCATAATATCTGACTTCAAATTATACTACAGAGCTATTTTAACAAAAACTGCATGGCACTGGCATAAAAACAGACACATAGACTATGGTACAGAATAGAAAACACAGAGGCAAACCCACACATCTACTGTTATCTGAAACTTGATAAAGATTCCAAAAATACACATTGGAGAAAAGACATCCTTTTAAATAAATAGTACTGGGAAAACTATTTTCCCATTCATATGTAGAAGAATGAGAATAGACTATTATCACTTACCCTATACAAAAATCAACTCAAAATGGATCAAAGTCCTAGAAATTAGGCCCAAAACTATGCTGCTCCTAGAAGATTATGTAGGATTAACACTACAGCATATAGACTCAGGCAACAACTTTCTCAATAGGATTTCTAAAGTTCAGGAAAAAATGCCAAGAGTTAATAAATGTAATGACATTAAATTTTAAAACTTCTGCACAGCAAGGAAACAAGAATATAAATTGAAAACCTACAAAATGGAATAAGGTTTTTGCTAGCTACTCTTCTGACAGAGGATTAATATTTGGAATATATAAAGAGCTTAAAAAATCACAAAATAAATCAATTAATAAATGGGCAAATGAAATAACAGACACTTCTTAAAAGAAATACAATTAGCCAACAAATATATGGAAAATTGTTCAATAGCATTAGCAATTAGGGAAATTCAAATCAAAACTACACTGACACTTCATCCTATGACAGTCAGAATGGTAGTCATCAAGAATATAGATGCTATATGTAAGATGGTGAAATGATACAGACATCATTACCCTAGGTACATATATGATTKCACAAATGATGCAATTCTGCATTATGTACAACCAGAGAAATAAAATGTTGTGCTCCGTATATGTATATTGGAACAAAATGCATTCTGCTGTCATGTATAACTGAATAGAAAAATAGAATATAGACACTAATACATGCTGAAGAGGATGTGAAAAAAAGAACACTTTTACACTGTTGGGTTATAAATTAGTACAATCACATTGGAAGTAAGTATGTAGATTCCTGAAAAGACTATATATGAAACCACTCTATGACCCAGCTGTAGCATTCCTCACTCAGTATTTAACCTAAAGAATTAAAGTCATTATAGTACAGTGATACATACATGCTCATTTTTACAGCAGCACAATTCACAATTGACAAACTATGGAATTAGCTGTGTATCCATCAGTGGATGAATGGATAAAGAACTTATGGTATACATATAAACAATGGAGTTTTATTCAGCCATAGAGAAAAATGAAATTATTTTATTTTTAGGAAAGTGAATGGAATTTGACAACACCATGCTAAGTTAAATAAGCCAAACTCAAAAGGTCAAGAATCAAGTGTTTTCTCTCATCTGTGGAAACTACAGAGGAAAAAGGAAAGGAAAGTATGTGGGGGAATCTCATGAAAATCAAAGGGAGGGACCACTGGGTGAGAGAAGGGGAGAGAGAGAGGGAAAGTGCTGGCAAATKATATTGGCCAAATTATATTGTGTACATATATGAATATACAATGACAAGTTCTATGATAATGTACAACTATAATGCACCCACAGTAGAAAAAGTGAAAAAAATAAAGTGTTCAAAATCTTTAAAAAGAAAAAAAAAACCCACACACAAAAAAACCCCAGAGAATTCTGAGGACAAAAAGAATGGGATCCAGATCACCTTAACCTGGTAACCTAATATTGAATACCCAGGATTTTCTCCTCTACCTACTTTTCTTCCTCCTCTTTTTCTTCTTCTTCTCCTTCTCCTCTTCCTCTACCTCCTCCTCCTCCTTCTTCTCTCTTCCCTTTACCACTTCTTCTCTCTCTCCCCACCCTCAACACACACACACACACCATTCAAACTAGGAAGACCACAAACAGAGGAAAAAGTACAATGAGGATGAGAAAAGACAATCAACTGATATAATTTTAAGATTAGTTAAATATCGTGGTTATCTAGTAAATATTTTAAAAGTGAGGGTAT